ATTCTGAAAAAAGTCTGCAAGAAATTCTTCACATAGCAGCATTATTTTCATTTCTTCACCGATTTTCTTCCGAAATTTCGTAAAAGAATGGAAGTGTTCGTAATTTATTTTATTTTAGAAAATTCGGAAAAAAATCGGATGGGATCTTTCCGAATTCGTTAAAATTTCTTTACGATTCAGAATACTCTGAAAAAATGGTTTGCAGGGTTTATACATATGTAAAGAGTTGAAATGTTGATTACTCATTTTACTCGAAATGTTGATTAATCATAAAGCAACGTACTCAAATATTTTTGTTTTTGGTTAATCAAAAATCTTGATTACTCGAGTAACTGAACTTTTGAGTAATCATAATTTCCAATTAATCGAATAATTGAGTTATTTACTTTATGATTAATTAAAATTTTGAGTAATAAATTAATCGCACAGCCCTAATAATTGTAGTTGTTTTCTATTCGTTTCCGGATTCGGAAAATTGTACGAGACCGCACGGTCGGCAAAATTTACGTTTCTCTGCTGTCTGGGAAGGGAGTAGACAACAAATATGTAACGGTATGAATAACCTTTATATAACAACTGGCGCCACCTTTAACCATTGTGTGTCTCACCTTTAAGTTATCGGTGAAATTTTTATTCATTACCTTCTTTCCGAAATCCTTGCTGTACGTATGTAAATGCACAAAAAATCAGCCATGAGTGAACAATGCAAGAAGTCCTAGCGAAGAAGTTAATCTTCCTTGCATTCTCCTTGAATGATTTTGCCCTATACAATTGAAAACGAAAACATTTTTTTTTGCTTTCTTCGCGGTTTTACTATATACATATGTATGTACACTAGGCGACAATTTAAAGTACACAGCTTTTTCTAATATAATATTCACAAATATTTTCATGAAGAATTTTTTTCATTAATTACACTATGCGACAAAATCAAACTTGTTGGCTCGGTATTGACTAAAACCAAATGCAAGTGTTAGTTTTAGATGCCAATAATACCAAGTTAATGGCTTTTTCGTGTTTAGCTCAAATAAGAAAGATATCCTTAATTGAAACTTTGCACACAATTTATTGATTAAATAGGTTAGCTTCTTGAAAAATATTCTTAGAAAATACTCATATAAAGGTTTTTGATACGAGGAATCCATTTTTGAAGTTCGTTTATTATTGGCTTTGCGCTAGATGGCGCTGTAGGTCAATTGTATTAAATTTTCCCGAGTTCTTTATTAAAAAAATCAGACGTGAAGTGATTTTAAACGCGACAACTAATGTTTTGAATAAAAATTAATTAATTTATTGTATTTTGTTTTATTCCTTTGCCTACTTTTTCTTCAAACTTTGCTTTTTATTGTGAAGAATTTACAAAGTTATAGCTTGTATTTACGTCATCAGCTGTAGCCATTATCCAAAAATAATAATTATATTATAATATTTTCTTTCACAGTCAATCATTTTTTAATTAAAATAAAAAAGAAAATGATAAATTGCTGTTATCAAAAGCAGACTAAAATCTCCAGATCTGTCGAATGGCAAAATTACACTCTCAAGCGAGGGTAATAAAACAATTATGAAGATGATTTTAATAATCGAAATAAAAAGAAAAGAAAAGGGAAAATTTTAAAAAAGTAGACAAAATAATAAAAGGAAATGCAATAAATAGATTAATTACTGTTTTAAATATTGTTTCTGGTGTTTAAAACACATATTTGTAATACGAATAATGTAAATTTCATATCGCCACTGAATTTTTTTTTAATGGAGACCTCCAATTCTAGTATTTATTTGAAAAAAAAAACTCAATGAAATTTAATAAAATTTACCTATAGCGCCATCTAGCGCAGAGCTAATAAAAAACTATCTTCACAAATGATCTCCTAGTATCGAAAACCCCATATATGAGTGTTTTCTAAGAATATTTTTCAAGAATTTAGCCTAATTACTCAATAAATTGTGTGCCAGTATTCAATTAAGGATATATTCCTTATTTGAGCTAAACTCGAAAAAAGCCATAAACTATCGCTTGCATTTTGTTTTACTCAATACCGATTTGAGCTGTATATATATAGTTCATTCTATAATATAAAACACATAAATCAAAGTTTCAAACCTTATACAAAGTTCACAAAAATTCCAAAAATTGTCACCAAAATTTTCAACTTTTTATTCGGAATTTCTAATTTTAGTAGAACAATGTTCAAGTTTCAAGTCGTTAAAAAATTACCGTTGATTTTTTAGATTTTATTGTGGAGGATGTAGTGGATTTCTTCCATATAAATATAAATTATGTTTATTCGTTATATGGAAGCAAATGCGTAAAAAATTTAAAAAATCAACGATACTTTTTAGCGACTTGAAACCTCCATTTTGATTTACTAAAATTGAATGAGCTACAAAACTGCATATTTGAAATTCTGAATAAAAAGTTGGACATTTTGATGACAATTTTTTGAATTTTTGTGATCTTTATATTAAGTGTGAAACTTAATAATATTAATATATTTTATATTATAAAATGAACTATATTTTCATAAATAATTAATGCAAAAAATTGTTTTTGAAAATAATTGTGAATATTATATTAGAACAAGCTGTGCACCTTAAAAAGTCGGAATTTTAATGCCGCCACCCCTACCTCTATTTTTTATTTTAATATCAAAAAATATTTAGGAAGTGCTCACAGCGCTCAAAATTTTCCACAACAATGTTTTTAACGAATTTTACAAATTTTACACAAAGCCGGCAAATAGTTTGCATGAAGAAATTAAATCTGGTAACTTTTATTAAGGATTTACCTGATATACGGAATAAAAGGCACTTGTCTAAATAAAACACAATGACCACAACATAGCCATGTCGATTCTTTAACATTTTCATGTTTCTATTTTGTTGAACAAATGCTGTATTGAAAGTAAAAAGGTATTTTGATGAAGGCTTTAATTCAAAATTTGCAAAACCTATGTTCATATGTATGTACATATGTAAGTGTATATTTCAAGCACATGGAATGTACTTACATATGTATATTTCGTAGAAATCTTAAAAATACATATTTACTTTGCAAAAAATTACAATTCAAAATAAGCAACCGCAAATTAATTCTTGAAATTGGCTAACACGAATCGATGAGTGAACTTAAGCCACCGCCACCAGCGCTTCCGTTTGCTTGCTTGTAATAACTCCGCTCATTCAAATTGCCGTAATGATGATTTGTGGCCAGCAGTGGCTGTAGCTCCGTATGTGTTGTTGTTTGTGTGTTAAAGTTGGCGTTAAATGTTGGGGGTGTAGCACCGACTATGTTGTTGCTGGAAGGTGTAAGTGTATGCGGTGTGATCGAGTTTCGTACCGTTTGCTGTTGCGTTGTTTGTGGCAACGTTGGTGGTGGCGGTACAGGCAGCGTGCATGTTGTTGTTGTTGGTGGTTGTAAAACGCCACTATTACTATGGCTGTGCTGTTGGTAAAAATTCTGGTGAAGATTCGTTATCATTGGCATGGGGGGTGGATAGCTCGCCGCTGTGTGTCCCATGATTGTGGTCATAAAACCATTGGCCACGACAAAGTTTCTAAAAAAAAAAAAAAAAAAAAACGAATGAGTGGTTAGTTTGCTACTTTGGAAATAGCGGATATGTATTTAGACTAGATATATATATGCACATACATACATACATATGTATGTGTTACTTTAGGGCTAATTAGGCCTAAGTGTGCGCATAAATGTTGTTAAATTAATTTCGTGTTAATTTTATTGTTAACAATAATTTTTAAATATGACAGTTTTTACTTCCGTTTATTTTATGCTCCAGTAGTTAGTTGCTAGTGGTGTAAAAGTATACATGCATGATGTACAAACATATATGTATGTACATATGTATGTAGGTGCTGTGATGGGTGAATATCTAACAGCTGTGTTTTCAAAGTCGTGGCTGCCAGCCGAATCGAATCAGAATATTGGTATTTAAAAAAAAAACACCCCATTTTTTATAAGTATTTGAATCTCAGATAGTTACGTTATTCTTTTTAATTATTTGAGCATCGATTCTCTTTATAGCCAGACGTTGATCATTTATGCTGGAAATGCCTATTGAAGGAGCTTACTCTTTGACTTTAAATAGCAAAGGATCAGTTTTACCACAGAAGTTTTTAGTCAAGGATCTCATGAAAAAAATATTATCCAAAAAGTAAACAAAACTACTGTTTTTAAAATTTTTGCTTTAAATAAATTCCCCAAAGAGCCCCATTTGAAATTATTGAAACGAATATATGTAACATCAAAAGCAAAAAACATCAAAAGCACGAAAATTTGGTTAAGCATTACAGTGCACGCTTTCTTCCTTTGTAACTAGTAGTTTTTTTTTTTTTAAATTGGTCAAAAAAAATCATAATAAAGAAAGAAACCAATGTAGGTATTTAAAGCACAGAAAAAAAATGTTCTCTTTGACGTACGTCAAAGGTCAAGTAGAAGCGGGAACTTGTATGACTGTCCACTAATAGCTCGATTATATAGCTTAAGAAGTAATATGTTTAAAGACATTTTTATCAAAGTTGATAAATATGACATTTGACCAGTTTTGTTACACAAGTACTCCCACGACCACAGGCAAAAATATTGGCTACAATTTGTAATTTTGTTTGCCATATATACGTCTTATCGGTGTACTTGCACAACATTCGCATTCGCAAAAGCTCCGCCTTGATACGAATTGCGAATGCGAATGTTAAAATTAATGCGGAAGCTCCGCGGTTGCGAATGCGAATGCGAACATTCGCAGCAACCCTGATATGTACATGTGCATTAGATTGTACCACCTTACAAGCAGACAAAAAAAGTTCGCCACTCAGTCTAACGTATTTTTGCAAGGCAATTTCCAAGGTTTTTGTGGCCTAACCTAGGCTCGTCTTTTTACTTTTTCGGTAACTCCTACATTCGGCAATACATTTTTTTTAAATACGTCTACTGAAATAATCTGAACACATACTTCCTTAGCAAAAGTGTAATGATTTTTCTCTTCTTCTTCTTCATTATTGGCTGTAACCGCATAAGCGATAAGCGATTTTGTCCAACTGACGCCCATTGGAAATGCCAAGTAAGAGCAAGTTCTTCCCTACCTGGCCTTTCCAACGCAGAAGAGGCCTTCCTCTTCCTCTGTAGCCACCATCGTCACCCGCGTTGAATACTTTTAGAGCTGGAGACAGCTTGATGGATATTTGTATACTGGAACCTTGTACTACATACTACCATGTTTGGGGCCCCGGCGATCGGCATGGACATGGGCGAAGATGAGCGACATGTAGAATTTCGCTTTGATTCTGATTGTGGCTAGACGTTGGTCCATCACATCTCCAGCACCGGTTTTACGCTCCTTTACGGGACANGATAGGGAAGTACTAGAGCGGGGTGCTTGAGGTCAATGAACCTTGGAAAAAAGTGTCTCCTCAAGACGAGGACATCGATATGTAATACTTTAAGATCCGATCGAATTTGGCTTTGAATCGAAATACTTCTTTAGCAAAAGTTTAATGCTTTTTGGCGATCTTTAATTTACTGACATTAGGGTGGTACGTTAAGGTGGTAAAAACTACGACCTGATGGGTAAGTACTAGTACGGTGTACTTGAGGGCAATGAACTTTAGAACAAAAAAATTTTCTCCTCAAGACAAGAACATCGATATATAATACATACTATAAAATCCAACTGTAAAAGCCGAAGATATGGCGAAACATTTAAATAGGAAACCCCTATGTTCGATAAAAAAAATGGTTCGAAATTGCCTTGCAAAAATAATTTAGGGCCGGGAGTCGGTAACGTCGATAACGATGCTTAACCACAGATTAGTGTTAACCAGACATTGAGTATCCCGCCCTTAGACTCAGGGGTGTACGGCCAACTTCTTTTTGTATGCTTACTGCTTGAACTTACTATTAAGTTTTAATGTCACGGATAAGTAGGTTCAAGGTTCAAATGTCAGAAACTGAACAATACAGATAAAGGGTATTGAATATTTATTATAAGTCATCGGTCTACATTTTAAATATGGTTTTTCTAGTAATTATTTAAAATTTAAAAATCCATAATTTTATTAGAATGACAAAATTCTTATTCGACCATCCACCATACATTTTATTTGCTTACCGATATTGCTGATCGATTTGTGCCTTCTCGATGCGTTTATCCTTCGCCCGACGATTTTGAAACCAAATCTTTATCTGCGTTTCGGTAAGGCGCAATGTTTCAGCTAATTCAAAACGACGATTTCTCGAAATGTATTCGTTCCGATGAAATTCCACCTCTAGACGCAACGTCTGTTCTGTGCTAAAAGTAGTGCGTTGACGTCGTTGACGGCCTTCTTTTCGCCGGCGCCGAGCCACTGAAACAAAAGCGAAAAATAAAATAACATTTTTACAGTTCTGGCCAAAAGCAAAGGAATGATTCAATCGAAAAATTGGAATAAAAAAGTTAAGCTCTACTTATAACACTTGCTTGTTTACACAAAATTTCCCATTACATGTGTAACTGATATTAAAGGGGCATAGAAAAAAAGCCAATACTCGTATTAATAAAAAATACTAATGATTGTATGTGCAAATGCGTGCATCTACTTATGTATTAAAACCGTAAAACATCCCCTTTTTATTTATTTTCGTTTTTTTTTTATATACATGTTTATGTGGTTAGTTGTCGAAAGTGGACGCACCGGCTGCAGGATGCCTACAATGAAGATATTAAATGGAAATTAATCTCTCGTTTACGCAATCAAAACATATTTAAAAAATGATTTACTGTTTTCCGGCAGCAATAATATCCTTATGTATAGTGCTTCTCTATTGGCATTAAATAATTGTTTGGTGGCGAACTGTGCGTGTCGGCCAATGAAAATGATAAACAACTAATTAAGCCCTCAACCAGTCGAGCATGCCGCCGCAAATGCCTTACTCTCGTCGCTTTTACAAGCGCGTCGTCGCATTACATGTACTACATACATAGTTTAGCTGTAGTTGGAATGCGCCCACAATAATCATGTCTTTGCTTTCCCCCCTCCTTGGCTTGCCTGCACACGCTTGGTTGCCGCTCCTGCTGATCCGGGAATTTTCACACAATGCAAACAGCTGTGCTGCCGAGCTCATTGTTTACCCTGCCAGTGCATTATTACAGTTTATGCAATCTTTTTTTAATAAAAAAAAAATATACTAATATCTGCTCACAAGTGACTAATGACTAATTTTTGCGAATATATTTGAGTATAATTTTAGTTGGATAAAGTGTGACGGTGTGTAAATTTATTATACTTCTCTTTGGAGGCGCATTTGTTGAATGACAAAATTAGTTGCCAATTTTCAATTATTTTACACATTTAAATACAGTGTTATCTGGCTGGAGTGAACACCCGATTCTACGAACACCTCGAAAGAGTGAACATGAAAATTTTTCCATTGAGTACTCTATAGAGTGAACAATTTTGAGTCTTTGTAGAGTGAACAAAATTTAAAACCAATTCCTTCCAAATTCAAAACTGTAACGACAAATTTAATGACAAAAAGGTTAATCCCTTCGCCAGGCCGACCCCGTAAATCCCCGTATCAGGGATCTCAACTCGGAGATTCGGCAACTAGTGAACGTACATAAGCGGAAGAAGTGGGAAGACCATCTGAAGACCTGTCACTTCGCCTCTGGTGTGAGCAAGCCTTGGTCAACCGTGAGGTGATTGTCCACCGGGGAAACCGTCCAACAAAGGAGAGTCTTCTCGCCCGATAGCTCACCTTTCCCCGGTAGCGAAGACACTAGAGGCCCTTCTACTTCCGCACTACACAAATCACTGGACCCCAGCGAAGCATAAGCATGGGTTCCGTAAAGTGCACAGCACAACAACAGCACTTGACGCCATAAACTCCCAAATAATTCGTGGCCTTAACCGAAACCCCCCATGTGAGAGAACTATTCAAGTAACGCTACTAGAAAACAAACGGTGGACTGCGAAATACCTGAGTGGTCGTCAGTGATCTTTGGAGACAAATCGATCAAACCTAGGAAAATGAAGCAGCGAGTTCAACAGGGTGGTGCCCTTTCCCCACTACTGTTCAACTTTTACATTTCTAAGCTCCCTCAACCACCAGAGGTAGTCTCGATTGTCTCTTATGCTGACGTTTGCTCGATAATGGTTATTTCACCGAGCTTTCTCGCTTCGTCACTGCACGGAGCCTAACACTCTCCCCTACAAAATCCTCAGCAACGCTTTTCACCACTTCGACGAAAGAGGTCAGACTGCAACTGGGTATTCTCGTCGATGACGAGCCAATTCCGACGTTGAATAACCCGAAGATCCTCAGAGTAACCTTCAAAAGTCTGCTCTCTTTCTCGGCGCATACAACCGCAATTGTCAATAAAGTACAAAGCCGCAACAAGGTCCTCAAGTCGCTTGCCGGCAGCACGTGGGGCAAAGACAAAGAAACGTTGCTGGCAACGTACAAGGCAATTGGCCGCCCGGTTCTGAACTATGCAACGCCTGTGTCGCTATCGGGGACTAGTAGGACGCAGTGGATGAAACTGCAGACTTGCAAAACACGGCACTCAGACAGCGACAGGATGCCTTCTGATGTTGCCGAAACACCACCAGCGCAACGAGGCCAATATGCTCCCGATTAAGGAGCATAACACAATGCTCTGCAAGCAATTCCTAGTAGGGTGTCACCCGGGTGTTAGGTACCCGAACAGACATCTGCTTGCGGAAGAACCATCGCGACGGCACGTTAGAAGGCCGTCTGCCTCGGGAGACTCGAACCCCATAGCCCAACTTCGATCGGGCTACTGCAGCAGGTTGAACTCATACTTGAGCAGAATAAATGCTGATGTGCCAAATGAATTCCCCGCATTCGGAGAAAAGCCCCATGACTCGCAGCATCTCTTCACATGCCCACTAAACCCCACCCTGCTAACGCCTCTGGCCTTATGGACAGACCCCATCGAGGCTGCACGCTTCCTGGGTCTACCGCTAATAGAGCTTGACGACAACGATACAACATCCACCGGAAACATGTGTTGGCATTAGCTGAGGGAAAAGACGACATTTCCGAGTACTTCAAAATTTAACTTCAAACGACGTACTGCGCAATAAAATTGATTTTAAAGAACAAAAAAACTCAATCTGGATATAGTGAACAATCTGCATTTTATGAACTGGTCTTGCATTAATTAGTTCACTCGACCCAGATAGCACTGTATATGCACATTAGAGCGCACCACCTTACAAGAAAACAAAAAGAAAAGGTTCGTCGTACACGCCTAGGTTAGGCTAGGCGCAGAGCATGGAGCACAAGTAGGCTGGAAAAGCCCGTTGGCATGCAGGTTTCCAGGAATTAACCTTAATCTAACTGTCGTTTCACATCCACAGAAGAACTTAGGTTTACGCCTCTAAGCACTGGAAGGTTGAGATTTTCCAATTTTCTTTTCCACGTAAACAAGACTAGGGTTGTCTTGCTGGGACTGACAGCAAAACCTTACAAAGCGCACCATTCATCAATCTTATTCAGGACTCTATATGTCTTAGCACAAACCGTCCTGAGATATTTAGTTGATGACAGTGCACATCATACGCGTAAGCTAGGATGCGAACCAAGTCTTGCATTTCCGTTACTAAGGAACACCACAAGAGAGGCATCCTCTCCCCAACCTCTGCCATGGTACAAAGGCTAGCTTCATCTCTGACGGTCTACAATCATGATGTGATTCCACCCTATAATGTTTTCGTCCACACCTTGTCTTCTGGCCGCAGAGCACATAGAGTCAAAGGTAGGGTTGTCAAACGAACCCTCAAAATCAGCAAAGCCTCCCATTGTACGCACACCTGCTTCCAGCTCCATATTGATCGTTATTACAAGGTCAGGAAGGGCTGATTCACAGGACTTTCCGATTTGGTATGCATTTTGACTTTTGGGCATAAAGGACGTCAGGCTGATTGGGCTGAAGCTTTTTGCAAGCGCATGTGCATCCTTTCCTGATTTGGGAATTGAAACAACCCTTACTGTACGGTAGGGTGATAAGAACTGAGATCTGGTGGGCAAGTACTAGAACGGGGTACTTGAGATCAATGAATCTTTAGAACAAAACAATTTTCACTCGAGACAAAAATATCGATATATCATATTTTAATGTCCGACTCAAAAGTCAAACATTTTTTTCGTTATTGCCTTCAGAAATACTCGTACTTTGGACTCACAACGTACGGCGAACTTTTTTTTCCTGTACGGTCTAATGTTCATATGTACATACATGCAGGCATAAAAAGTTGTTACCCCCAATTAAAGTACTCATCACAGTTAAGTTTGTCCTGTTTTTAAGTTGCGCCAAGCTTATTTTGTAATTTGATCTGCTGCTCAGCGCAAAGTCAGCGTTTTTGCAGCAAATCCTGGATATGTTTTTTTGGTTTCCTTTTAATATCAGTTACAGTCTGTATTATTTTTTTAATGAGTTCTCTTAATCCGCTCTACGTTTAGGTTTATGTTTTTTCAATACTTAAAACCGCTGGTGGTGAGGCCCGCCTTCAAACATACTACTTACATGTGCATATACATACATATGTACATACTATGTAGGTATGCATAATTGTACGCTGAAAAAACTCATTCTACTAACCGGTTTTACCGCAAAGTGTAAGCGGAAAAACCGCATGCATTGCCATATTTAGTGTTCCTTTTTTTGCAATCCTTTTCCGATTCGATTTTTTCCTCTGCTTTTGTACACCTTCATACCTAGGAATTTTCTTAAGTTTGTTATGAAATTTGATATAGTTGCATTTTTTTAGTCGCCCATCGTTATACCTTAAGCATATTTTTTTCAAGTAATTATTTGTACTGATATGACTTTTTTGCACATCGCACCTGTGCCAAATTGCGTGTGAGAAATTTTCGCCTTTTTCAAAAAGACACATTTCCTGATTTGCAAACGATCACTTCCTTCAAATTATCCTTTTTGACTTTTTATTTTTTCTTATTTGACTAGAAATGTATCCGGCATTTCGCCTGGTTTCCTCAAAACCCGCTGTTTGGCTGAAACCGTTGCCAAAAGTTGTGATTAGTCAACAAAAGCGGATGCTCTCGCAGAAACCAGAAAGCATTAAGGTGGGTCTATTGTTTAGTACTATTTGTTTTGATAAGCAAAACAGTTCACTTGAGCCATTTCTGTCTTTCCAGTTGCCCCCTACGCCAGAAGCGTGTTGCCTGGCTGGGTGTAAAAATTGCGTTTGGGTTGAGTATGCGCATAAAATTGCGGATTTGATGTCTGGCTATGATGAAAGGGCAAGAGGAATTATCTTGAATAGAGTATCAGATCCGGTGTTGAGAAGTTTCTTAAAAGTCGAATTGAAAAGCATCCTTGAACAGCGAGAGGGCGAAAATATCGATAAATGAAGAGGTAAACACTTTTGTGGAAAAATGTATGTATGCACCAGGGTTGTTGCGAATATTATTCCGAAATAAAAGACCTTTCCGGATATTAATCAAATCTCTTATCCAAATTAAACAACAAGGACTTTTATTTCGGAATAATATTCGCAACAACCCTGGTATGTAGCATGATTAAATAATACAAGGTTGTGTTATCTGTGACAGCTGAAATTTGACACTCCTTTATCTAGATTTGTATTTTGGAAATAGGAAATAGGAAAAAGAATGTGATCGCCTTTTGCGAAAACGGTAGTAGAAAGGTACTAAAAAGTAAGCAAAGTATACAATTAGAAGTAAAATGTGTTATAGTAATTATATGTGAATTTGCAATATATTTGGTGTTTTAATGGAAATACTAAGCAATACGTAAAAATGTCCATTTTTAATTTAAGTAATTCGTCATTTCCTAAAATAAATCTAGTATACCGATAAATCTAGTATAGTCGGCCGCTGTGGTGTAGTGGTAAGCAGTGCGCGCTTTCACTCATCACCACCTGGGTTCAAGCCCTGGTCAAAGCAACATCGCAAAAAAAAATATAGAAAAAGGTTTTTTTCTTAACAGCGGTCGTCCCTCGGCAGGCAATGGCAAACCTCCGATTGTATTTCTGCCATGAAAAACAGCTTCTCATAAAAATACAATCGCCGTTCGGAGTCGGCGTAAAACTGTAGGTCCGTCCGCTTTGTGTGACAAATCAAGGCGCACGCCTCAAGCCGGAGGAGAAGCTCGGCCAAACACTAACAAATGTGTAAGCGCCAATCTATTATTATTATTATTATACTGACCGTTCAGCTATGCAAAAACGAAAAATGTAGATCAACTTTTTACGCTCATTTCAACCATGTCAAAATTATTTGGCGCAAGTAAAAAATAAAGACGTTTTAGAAGGTTAAATTTAAATTTTTGGATTTTTTTAAATATTAATATATATACATATATATATATATATAATATAAATAATATCATATTAATAATATAATATAAACTAGGTACATAACCGATTACAAAACTGATGACGTCACCATAAAGATAATTAATTTATCTTTCAGCTGCTGTATATAATTTATATGTTTTTTTTTAATATTTTCAAACCAAAACCACTGAAAAAACGAACAAATGTTATTTTTTCATGAAATAACCTTTTTCGAAAAAACTGTGTACTAATATACAAACTTGATAAAATTGACGTTGGGCTAAATAATTCTGAGATACGGGTCCGTCGTATGGAACCCAGAAACAATTATTATTCGCATTAAACAATTTGCCTTGGGATTCGACATTAAATCTCCCACCGTATAAAAGCCGCTCGAAGCTCACATATTTGCCACCGCTTCACAGCCGTAGAGAGATGCTCGGGGTTTTGTTCATGATTAAGTTCTTGAACGGGATGGTCAGTAGTCTCTTTCTACTGAACTAGATCACGTTTTGTATTCCTCCAAGACCCTCTAGACATTGCAAGCCCCGTTAAGCTAAGTATTTGTAGAGAAAATTTTGAAATGCATGATGCTTTTCGTAGCTTATACCAGGACTTTAATAAGCATTCCAACTATTTTGACACCTCCGACTCACTTTTGATCATTAAGAAAACTTTACTTGAGATTTTGAATAAATAACAAGTAAACCCTTACCCGTTTTTGTCGGAAAATGTAACAACTCGTGTGATTTGCTCGTATGTATATAGGAAACTGCTCTAACGGTTTTGATGGGATTTTTTATTTAGATAATGTGGATGTGCACACTTTCCTAGTTATCAGGCTATCAGGTTAGTTGACAACAGTCGTTGCTTGAGCTGATCTACTTCTTCGCCAGATTGCCAGGCCACTTGCTCAATTTGGTGAATACCACTATTATTTTTCTGTGGTGTATTTTACTGTTGTAAACTGAATAAAAAAATTACCACATAACCAGATAACCACACTGGTGTGAAAAAACACAAATATTTGCATTTTAAGATTATTTAGTTAGGTGTTATCTCCGAAAATATTCGCAAAACGTTGACACCTATTAAAAATTAGTTAAAAACTAAATAAAGCATCATAATATGGGTATCCATCAAATATTTTTGAATACACTTGCCACCTATTATCCATCGTGTATTTCTTGAATTTTTTGTTTAAAAATTTAAAATACAATATTACTCTTTATGGGTACTAAAATAAAGCTCGTAAACAATGCTTTGCTTACATAGCAAGTGTTACCCCTTAAGGTATTAGTGTAGGATTGCCACTTACTTTCGATTCTACAGAATTTAACTGAAATAACTTTATAGGGATATCAAATGAAAGGCATTTGTGAGAACTTTAATCCAGAAATGTTTTCCTTGAGGAGTTGCCATGTTTTTGAATGCCAATAATAATAATAATAATAATAATAATAATAATAATGTACATATGGGTATGTCCAATCTGGCGGTACGTGACGATCATATGACAAAATGTTAAAAAAAAAAAATTGAAAAAGGTTTTTCTAGTTTTGCGTAGCAATCAAATGGCCCCTTATTCAGTAAAAAATATACAACTGTTGGCAGTGACGATTTAAAGTTATTAGTAAACATACGCGCTGGTGTGACGTTACAAAAAACAGAAGTGGATTTTGACTTGGGTTACAAAATTGCAAAACAAAGCTAATTGGGCTAGACTATTTCTATAAACGTTTTTGTAGTAATATTGGAAATGTTTAAGGTTCATTTTATTTTTAATCAGCTGAATTATCTGACAGGGGCGTTACCTGGCGTAACGTTTTTAAAATTTCCATTGTAAAAGTTGTGTTAATATGGTTCTTGAAAGAATTTTTAACTGGAAGAAAACATGTATTTTATGTCGAACGTACTTTTTATTTTGACATCAGCGCCACCAGCGGTTGCATTTTTTGCACATCTATTATATTATTACATTTCAACTAAACATGCCAAATGTGAAACAAATCAAGAGCATAAATGCGGTTTTTCAAAATATCTCGACCCCGGCGCCACCTAACGAGACCATTACGTCGCTGGAATAATGAAATAGTGTAACATGAAAAGTATAGTTTTGAGAAAAACGAATTGGAAGTTTTTATAAACCATTACAAACCATACGAATACAATTTCAGTTTTCGGGAATAAATTAGTGAGCCAAAGAGATATTTAAGAAAACTAAAGATTTTTCTAATAGATTAAAGGATTGTCTATCCAATGGTGCAATTATCGAATAATAGTGTATGTGGCATTTACACTGTTTCTTTATTCGTGCGACGATTAGTTAGATTTAGGACTCTTAATTTTTTTACGCGGTAGAATTTTCGCTGGAATCACCCATATATGTATACTCAAAATATGGCCTACATATTTCTTAATATGGTTGCCACCTAATTTTTAATGTCAGCATTTTTTTGTTTATTAGATTCAAAAAGTAAAAAACTTTGTTAAGGTTTGTTTCCCAAATTTTCTTTTTCTAGAATTCTGAGGTATTGAGTTGGCTAAAATATTGACGATCATTTTATTAATTAACATTGTTTTTTCATAATTTCAATTCGTCTGGAAATTTTTTTATGTGTAACATGCATAACTTTGGACCACGTTTACCGATTTCTATAATTTTTTTGAGGTGGTACCTCAAAGGTGGTCCCCTACTAATTTGGGTAAGATCCGATGATTGGATCATGTAGAAATTAACGTGATTCCAACATTTGTATGTGCCAAATGAAGTCGGTTTTGTTTTTTGCTTAAAAACTATTGGTTTTATTTCACCGTGCGACAGTAAATTGTACACACAGAAAATTGCACTGTTTTTTTTTTAATAATTTTTTTAAATAAAATAAAATTTGAAAGTCAAAAGTTAAAAAAAAAATTCGTGACGTCAGAGAGAAAAACTAAAAACGCAGTTTTACTATAGTTGGCCTACAGTTCCGTGAGTATATTGATTGCTTCATGTGTTCCGATTTTTTTTTTTGTTTTTGTCGCACGGTGTTTTCATTTGGTTTTACCGAATACTGGATACTTCTTAGTCTAAAATATTAACGCATTGATAATATTTTTTTATCGAGATACACAAACACTTTCAGAGATATTCAGTAAGAAAATTTCAGTTTGTATGGGAGGTGCCACACCCCCTTTTCTGATAGCCCTAAATTTCTTCCATGAGTATGAAATTGATTTTATATACATACATACATAAGTATTTCGATACCAATTTCCAGTACAGTTCTATAAACACCTCCAGAGGTAGGCAACATAAAAAAAATCAATTTGTTTGGGAGTTCCCACGCCCACTTTTCCAATATTATTATTTTTTTCTCGATGAGTATTGAATTTATTTCATATACATACACACTAGGGCGGGTCGAAAATCTAATTTTTCTCAAATCCCTTGGTAATAGTGAAAATATATTGTATCATGAAGTCAACAACAAGCCTGCGAAATATTAGTCTTCCATTTTAATTGTAAGAGCCCGCGCATCGACCGCCAAGTGACCCACAGCACACTAGTCGAATAAGACCAATTCTTGTTAAAAATTCTGGGTTTAGCCAAAAATTTTGGTGCATATTATTAGATAATGAATCCTTTAACGCAAAAGATAAAGGCAAGTATCATTTCGCGCAGCCCTTTATCTTATCGTTAATCTCAAACTCATCTATTTTCAGGAAAATTTTAATTGTTCTCTTGATAATTGCACTGGCCTATAGTCAAAAGATGTATAGAACAACATTAATATTGCTGGCGTGCATTTAGATCGCTAGTTCCAAATATTCTAATCTCTTTTTAATATTGGCTATAGTTTGCGAATTTTTGCAAATTTAGGAACAATTTCGGTAGCTCTAATAGAATAGCCATTATTTTCCATCATCGTGGAAAAATTTTGTTTATGCAAATGAGTATGGAAACATTGAACAGGCACAACTTCTAGAAACACTAATTAGTTTACTTATGTTTATGCATACAATTTAAAAATTGCAAATATAGCAAAATGACAAAAAAATTTTGTTTACAATTTTTTTATTTTAAAATAATTAGTTTATAATCTATTATATTTTCATCATATTATTATCATAAATCAGTAACAGTAAGTCTCGCCTTCAATTTGATAATTATTACGTACCGATCGAGTAACATTTACCAAAGTTATATCGAAAAAAATTAAGTGGATTTCCAGTTTTTTCCTAAAAAAATCTCTCTTCAATTGTATAAATAACCTTTAAATAAAAGAACCGGATTACAGAAAACTGTGCCAGCGAGTGACTTTTTTCGTTAAAGCTGAATGCAAAGCAATATCGTCCAATTGGAGAGTCCTCAAAAGGATTTCCCAGGATATGTTAAAGACTATTGCGTCTACCTACAGACACTTTTTCACATAATGGAATTAGCTAAAATATTTATGTATATCTAAACACTTATTGCACGTCCCCTACTTTCATATGACGGCAAATTTAGAAACCGCGAAAAATGTGCTTCTGCGGCGACTAATGAAACCATTCCGCACCAGTTTTCAAGACTGGAAAAATGGACTCAAAATGGGCGTTTCTCACCCTAATTGTAATGTATGTAAATACTTATATGCTTGAAACTACTATTAACTTGTCAAACGATTCCTATTCTTTGACAACACATTGGGCCTTATGCATAAAAAGTGAGCTTAAGCTCAGACTCAATTTTTGCACTGAAAGGGTGAGCTCAAGCTCAAGAATTTGTACTGAAAAACGAGTCGGAGCTTAAGCTCACTTTTTATGCATTAGGCCCATTCATTCACCACGATCTTGAAAACTGACCAAATCGGCGAGACCAAGTCCATGGTCATTTTAATTTATATAAATATCCGAAAATATTAAAACGTTTGAAATAAATCTCGTCTCACTTTTTTGTATTTTTCACTTGTTTGCTGAAGTAATGAAGAATTGAAAATTCATAAGGGAAAATTATAGTTTTTGTAAGTTTTATCTTATTATCGTAAAAACGTATAGACTTATTGAAAAATGATAAATGAACGTGAGGTACTAAATTTAATAGCCCTTAATTTGATATATCGTTCTGCTCATAACAATAACGCATTCCATAGATATTTCAATCCAAAGTTTCATTTTCAACATTTATACACTTTGATTCAATTGCGCGGGCTAAAGATAAGTTTTAAATTAATCTTTCTTGGCCAATAACAATTGGCTTAGACCTAAGACATCATAATATTACTATTACAATGCGGTCAAATGACTTTTATTTTCCCCCATACAAATTCGACCCAGACTAATACACACATATCTCCATACTAAGTATCAATACCATACCACAAATATTTGAAGAGATAGTGAATATAAAAATTTTAGTTAGTGTGGGAGAAATATTTATGTAGTATGAAAATTTCGATTTTCGATTTCGAAATTATTTTCAGCTTATGACCATCCCGGGGAAGGCTGCAGTAAGTGTGCCAAGCGGTTTAGGGCGCAACTGTGAACATACAGTATCGGTCAAATCAATAGCAACCCCATTTCAAAGTGATATTGTTTGTCACTTATGTTTTTATTTATTCTGAGGAATTTTTAATTAAAATACAGGTCATTCTCTAACAAAACATTAGTTTAAAACTTTTTGGAAAACAAAGAATTTAAAAAAACTTTCATCCAAATTTTAAACTTTATTCTCAGAAATATGAGATCTTTTTTGAGTATACAGTTTTATAGCCCATCCAATTTTGGTATAATAATGTGCATTTTCAAGTGGCTAAAAATTGCCATTGATTTTTTAGAANCTTTCATCCAAATTTTAAACTTTATTCTCAGAAATATGAGATCTTTTTTGAGTATACAGTTTTATAGCCCATCCAATTTTGGTTTAATAATGTGCATTTTCAAGTGGCTAAAAATTGCCATTGATTTTTTAGAATTTTCTTTTGACAAAGGTGTTGTGGTTTATTTCCATATAAATGTTCGTTATTTATTCGTTAACTCAACTGGGAGTCGGTCAGAATAAAAAGTCCTTTTCTTGTAGGGTAATTTCTAGCACATTTAAAATTACAAAAAAGTCCTTCATATATTTGTATTAGCTGTAAGCAGCTCGATAAATCGATAAACATATTTTTTTTTCTGAAAATTTCTCCAAAAAGTAGGATTTTAATTTTCCGTTAAAAAAATCGCACCACTTAGTAAATTTGATTCAGCTAAGGAATATTAAGCAGAAAATTTTTCTCCCTAAAAATTTACGTAAAGAATGTCACCCTAAAAACTCCCCTGTTTATGAACTTTCCCCCTAACACTGTTCGAAAGTTACAGTATCTACAAACTGCCAAATGTTTGTTACGCCTCACTGTAAAAACGGCTTTTTATAGTCAAACTCGGTGCTCATTGCCATGCTTTGGTACTAAAAATATTAATCAAGTTAAAAATTAAGATATAGCTCCATACCCAACTCGAATCTTCATGCAGTCTCGGTTATACATATATGCAACGTAAATACATACGTATGTTATACGTACACTAAAATTTTATTTAATTTAATTTGGTATTTTCTTTTTCTTTTCAGAAATGCGACCTGCCTGTCGCCAACTTTACAATCGAGGCCTTTTAATACAATCCACTAAAACGTTTCTTAATAATCTTCTTCGTATGTATGGTGATAGCGACATTGAGGTAAGATACATACTTTTGTGACTTTGTGATTGAAAACGTTCAAAAGCAAATATTTTCGAATACATTTACATATAGTTTTGGTTCAGAATAAATATGCAATTAATGCACACTGTGATATAATACATTTTTCGTCCACAGATACCACCCGAGCCCACAACATGTTGCATGTCCGGCTGTGCGAATTGTGTTTGGATCGAATATGCAGAGACATTGTCAAAACTTTTCGCAGGTAACGACGAAAAGGCAAGACAAATAATTTTGAGTAAAATAACCGATCCAAATCTAAAAATGTTTTTAAGTTTGGAATTAAGAAATATTGGGCAAAAGAAAGTCGATGAAAAGAAGGATACTACAGAATCACACAAGGATCAACAGCCACAATAGCGCAAAAATAAATAGAAAATAGTAAAATTTGAACAAAATATATGTATGTATATATGTATATTTGCCTCCCCCCTAACCCTAAGCTTAAGTAGAATGGTATTTTTTTCCATGTTCAGTAGCTAATAAAATAGCAAAGTTTAATAATGAAATATAAAGAAAACTTTTTATGCGGTTTTGTTTGCTTGATACTAAATCGTGGTAGAGTACTAAATTTGCCATTCTCTGAAAGGCGTAAATTGGAAAGAAAAGTCGAAAGACCGAGTTAAAAAGCCGTATTGTTCTCTTTATTCTTGCAAGAAAATGCTAGACAAGAGGTGTAGTATACTTACGGTGACCAGATTACTGCGGCCAAAAATCGGGACATTTCTAAAGCATCGAATCCAAACATTAAATTTTGTTTTTAGCATAAAAAGGCTTAATACAGTTTTATTTAAAACAAAACAAAGAGAAAAAAATTTAAAAATGTTTCATATATTTTTTATAAAACTATAACTTACTATCTAAAAGAAAAACTTGAAAATCAAAATTTGTAGAACATTTATAAAAATTCGACGAATTTGAATAAATATTCATCACAATTTGAAATATTTTAATCAGATTTTCTAGAATTGTTTTGAGTATGAAGTTTTGTAGCCCATTTACATAATTATATGTAGTACATATAATAAAGTGCAAGTTGGAAGAAGCTTGGACTTATCATTGATTTTTGGCAATTTTTTGCTCGCTCATTTTCTTCCATACACAGTATGTTTAAAAATTTTTTTGTATCGAGAAACGTGCGGCCAAAATGCACTTCCACCGTTCCTTACCTTTCTGCGGTACATCTAAAGGCTAAGCTTAGCCGGCAAGGTCTTAGAACTCTAACTGGCTACCTGACAGGACACTGAAAGTTAAGGTACAATTTGAATAAAATATTTGTGTTGAAAAATCACTAAACCATATTTCACGGCAATTACAGTACAACATTTTATTTAAAATTATTCATTTATCACACACAGGCTTTTTTAAGATAATTAAAAAGAAAATTACGAATTCCATCCAATTTTCAAAGACATTTTTCACTACCTTAAACCAAAAAGTTATCATTAATAAATACAAACAAACGACTAATCTTAGCATTATTGAGTAGACTATCTATGAATTTACTTACGGAAAGCCGTAAAACCGGCAGTGAAATGTGGTTCACTTGGAAATCCAAATGGAATATTTGGCATCGCCGTCCTTGTGTCATAACAGGCNTGGCAATTTTTTGCTCGCTCATTTTCTTCCATACACAGTATGTTTAAAAATTTTTTTGTATCGAGAAACGTGCGGCCAAAATGCACTTCCACCGTTCCTTACCTTTCTGCGGTACATCTAAAGGCTAAGCTTAGCCGGCAAGGTCTTAGAACTCTAACTGGCTACCTGACAGGACACTGAAAGTTAAGGTACAATTTGAATAAAATATTTGTGTTGAAAAATCACTAAACGATATTTCACGGCAATTGCAGTACAATATTTTATTTAAAATTATTCATTTATCACACACAGGCTTTTTTAAGATAATTAAAAAGAAAATTACGAATTCCATCCAATTTTCAAAGACATTTTTCACTACCTTAAACCAAAAAGTTATCATTAATAAATACAAACAAACGACTAATCTTAGCATTATTGAGTAGACTATCTATGAATTTACTTACGGAAAGCCGTAAAACCGGCAGTGAAATGTGGTTCACTTGGAAATCCAAATGGAATATTTGGCATCGCCGTCCTTGTGTCATAACAGGCTTTATTATAGTCATGAACACTGTAGGGGTCATACGCAGAACAGCCATGCGATAATCTAAAGTAATAAGAATTTCAAACTTTAGATGATTCGATTACATTAAAACCTCAGCGATTAGATAAAATTGCTGAAATTGCTAAAATTTATAGCTCAGAATCAATTATTGAAGATTTCCATTACTTGGACGCATTTTTATTTAATTTGTTTGTCAAGTCATGCGCGTCACAAAAAAAAAAAAATAAAAATAAAAACGCACCTCTCATCGTTAATAGAGATTTCCGGCGATGACATACTACCATCATCGCTTTGATAAGTGGTATCACAGATTGTTGCACTCAACTCAGTGACAAAATTTTTATCACTTTCACGTGCGTCGTGATTATGCGTCGAGTTTTTGGCACTGGCATTATTATCCGATACAGTTTCATTGGTTTCAAGATGACCGTAAAGACGTTCGAAAAATTGACGCGGCGATGATGGACGGTTATGTGGTGTTTTACCACTTGTCGCCACATCTGTCATCGCGTTATTTTTAGTAAGTATTACGAAGTTGACGGCTAGGACGATAAACACGGCTGATTTTGATTAATCGGAAGCATTAACTATTTGAATATGGATTAGCCACTTAACCGCCGACCGACGTATAATGCAACAACCGGTCTATTAGAGGTTCTCAAACTGAATGAACTGATGGGAAAGAACGTTTAAGCACTTCGGTTTTCAAACTGCAAACTATTTGTGACTTGCCCGTATCCTCAGGACTTTTACTTCCGCTGCCTGCGCCTATTGCGGCAAATAAAAAAAAAACGTTAATGAGTGAAGTGCTTTTTACACAAAAGAGCTCAGCAGCGGCGACCAGTGCAGTGCTAAGCGTACAGGTTCTGTTTGTATTGGTTTCATTGCAAACTGGTACACCTACATATCCATATCCATACATAGGCATGTATGGATGTGGCTGGACGCCGCTGTCGCTTTGAATTTACGCACACGCTTTCGTCTTCACTACAATCAAAGTTCGACAAAATTTTAATCATCTGCGAAGTTTCGAATTACTTGCAACGTTAAATTAAAATTAGCAAAAAAACGGGTAAAAAATTGATACATATTTGCTATAGTTGTGTGTATGTATGTACGTACATACATATGCTTACATACATACTTATGTGCATAATTGATAGCGTGGGAGATGTTTATGCATGGGTATGTTGTGTAGTAATGTTTTTGTTGTTGTTGTTATTATTAATCAGCATTTCAGCTGCGATTGGCTACTGTAGNCATACACATACATACTTATGTGCATAATTGATAGCGTGGGAGATGTTTATGCATGGGTATGTTGTGTAGTAATGTTTTTTTGTTGTTGTTATTATTAATCAGCATTTCAGCTGCGATTGGCTACTGTAGGACGGTTTCACCCCTAATACAAGTTAATAACAGGAAGAGGAAACACAGAGAAAAATAATCTCACGATTTTTATTTGAATTTTTAAGACAGATATACCAAATGTGTGCACTTGTCGCTACCATGTCAAACTATTGAATGTTCTAAAATGCTTTTTCATGTACGACACCTTGCGTATGCGTTTCGAATGATAAGTAAGTTGGCAAATCGTCTAATCTTCTTAGAAGCAGAAGATACTGACTTTAACAAAGTGTCGAATACCACAACAAAGTGTCCTAATGACGACAACATTTTACACAACATTTTTTTTTTGTTCTCCTGAAAAGTACCAATTTTCACATTCGATCGTTTGACATGGTAGCGAGGATATTTTCAATGATCTATAAAATTTAGCAGTAAGCTTTCGTCGCATGATATGCTGACTGATATACTGGTGTTGGCCGATTATCCGGCTGGTCTAAAAATTACACGGGTAAGAATTGTCAAACTTATTCAAGAGTATTTGCGATTGTATAAAAATGAAATAGGAAGTTTTTTGCTTTATTTTTAACAGACATCCTTTTTAATGTTTTTCTTTGCATTGTTCATAAACTGAACAATGGTCTATGTTATGTAGTTTGACTATTGTCAATTAAATCGAATGCTTTGTATTGCGTGCGCTCCACGTTTTTCATTTTCAATCTCATAAATTGTTTTGCTAAAATTTCAAAATCAAAAGTTATCAACACAAATTCTATGGGACTGCGTAATATTATTATCTAAGTTTTAGTCCATTTATTTATTTTATATCAGTTCACATTTGCAAGAATCTTTTTTTTTCTAGTCTTTTGAGGGCCGTTTCCTCAAGTATTTTTTAAAATGTATTTGCCTCTAAAACACATTTTACAGAACAAAATTAGTGTTACACAAAATTTTACGGTGTACTAAAATTCCCTTTTCACCATGCGTATTCATGCATATGTACATATTTTGCGCCTTTAGATATGCCACTACTACCCGTTGTTTCCGCACACGCTTTACACTTTCACACACACATGCCGACGTTTAATATTTACTTGCATTTAGCAAGGCCGGCAAGTTAAGGTTTGCTCCGCCCATTTTGTAGGATAAAATACATATACAGACCAGTGTTGCCAGAAGTACAGTTTTCATAAATTGTCAGAAAAATTTTCACTTGAAGTTAATTACAACAAAATATAACTCCATACAAAAAATCATTGCGTAATATATATACCTATTTGAAACATAAATCATATGTATATATATGTAAGTAAACAAAAGTTTCCCTCTCCACTTTCCCTGCTTGCACATTAACAATTCACAATAGCGGAGTTTCTTCACTTAACAGCATTACTCATTAGTTAGCGTATTTTTTAACCGACCTGGCTGAGCTCGGATAAATAACCGAGTTTGTGTTATTGCTTTGCGTGTATTTCGTCACTTAAGCGAGTGTTCTTTTGTAGCTTGGTTGTAAAAGAATGCACACTATGTATGTACAAATGATTACAAATTAAAGTAACTCACAGCTTTAATTTTAATCAATGATTTTTTTTCTGTTGACTGTTAAAGAACACTTTTCTGTTATGAAATATGCTAAAGTATGTGTTTTGTATTTAAATTTAAAAAGTATCTAGTAACTCGTTTTAATTCTAATTGATTTCACTAAAAAAACAATAATATAATAGGGGTCCTCATTTAAAGTGATAAACTGCTGATAAACTTGATAAAATGATCAATATGTCATTTTGATAAATGAACTGTCAAACTTTGTATGGAAATCTATTTAAGCAGAGTTTATCACTTTATCAAACGTTTTGGGTGGATAAATGTATAAATTTCAGCAAAATTCAACCCTGACAGGTTGCCAGCTGGCACCTTGTGCTATGAACACATAAAATGCAAATAAACAATTTACGATATAAGAATGAAACGTAACTAGCCATACAAGTTAAATTATAAACAATTGTATGCAATTATTTACCCCGGTGCGTTTATGAAACAATGCAGATAAATTGATAAATTTAAGAAATTTATCCCTTTATCACTTTAGATGAAATCCCTAAATACGACAATTTCTCTTAACGAATTTTTATCAATTGAAGGATTCACAGGTGACGTAAATGTCGTATCGTTGTACGTCGTAAGCTTTGAAATATTAAATAAATGCTTGGAGAACTTGAAACGACTACCAACTATTATTTAATACTGGAAAAATTTATAATATGACTTCGATGGTACCTAACACACCCCTTTAATATATTTTTTAGGCGTTTAAAGTTTTGCGACATACAACAATACAATACTTATGATACTGTTGTGCACTGTTGTGACTACAAAACTAAAAACACCGTCGAATTTCTGTAGATGAGAAGAGTTTTATGGTTTCAAAATTGGTTGAAAATTACAGCTAAAATCGTCGTTTAAAAAATTCCGTTTTTATGTATGGTTGTTGTTGCAACCTGTTCAAACTGAGCTGTTTTCGCATTTTGTTTTACTTCGTATTTGAAATTATACTTCGAAATAAAGATAAATATGAAGGTGAAGAAATAAATGATAACGATGAAGACAAAAAAGAGAAGGTAAAAGTGATGATATAGACGAAAATGGAGGCAATGAGAAATACATAAGAATTAGGGTAATTGAATTGAATTTTTTCGATAGCTATACAAGCTTTATTGAATCATCGAAGTTTATAGTTATCGGAATTTATCCATGCTAATTAAGTTACCGCAACATATCGAATTATTCAAATTGATCAATGTTGATTGAGTTGTCGAAACTTATAGACACAGAAACTTAGTTGTTGAAGTTTATGGGATTTATCGAAAATTGTCAAGCTAAAGAAATATATGAAGTTATCGATATTTATTGAATTATCATTATTTATAGACTAAACGAAATTTATCGAGTTATCGTAATGCGCCGAGTTCTTTCAACTTACAGAGGTATCGATAATTATTGATCTACGGAAATCGGTCGATTCATCGAATCTAAGTTTATGGAATTTTCAAAATATATTGATTTATCGAAATTTCAAGGTTATCTAAGTTTATCAAGTTATCAATGATTCTCGAATTTTATCGTATTAACAGAATGAGATATATGGGTTGTCGGATTTTAGTGGTTTTAAAATTCATCGAGTTATCGACATGTATCAACTCATTGAAGTTTATCGATAAACTGGGATGTATCGGGTCAATTCCAAATCCTGCCGAAGTCCTCCAAAGGCCTTCAAAGATATAACAAATCGTAGTCACGTTTTAATTCCAAAGCAGAAGATTTTCCGGTAAGCTACTTTTCACCTTATAAGTTGTGCTACGTGTTAAGTTAGAAAACCTCTCCAAGACTCCTAAAAACTAGAAAAACTGACAAAATAGCCAAATATTAATATTTAAATAATTAAGCTGGTTGGGTTATTACTGAAAAACAGCTGATTACTGAAATTGATACAAAGTACAGAGCGGTACTAAAAAATTAAAAAGTACAGGGTAACCAAAAGAGAATACATTTAAGCAGTGTTGCCATTAGGTGCAATCCCGTATTCCTCGGACTCGGACTAGTAAAACTGTCAAAAAATAAAAATTCGCTCAGACAAAGAACGTAAATGTATAAGAAGCGACAACTCGTTAAAGTCGGCGAGTGAGGTCTGAAAGGTTGAGATCATGATTCAATAATACAAGGTTCGATAAACTGACAGTTGCCTCTCTCGCACCGCTCCCTTAGCAGTGGCACCGTGTTGCTTCTTTGCAAATTTACATGGAAATAGTGTAGCTTTGGTGTGAAATAATAGTATAAGCTTTTGTGCAATATGTTTATTTTTATATGCATATGAAGCATATTTAACTGATGAAAACATAAGCATTGGATGTTTACATCAATCTCATAGTAGTCTTATTTTAATTTTGAGTCATTTTGCAGTTTTTATACGGCTAAATAGCATATAAATTACGCAATTCACGTAGATATATCAATATTACGTTCAACATTCCGTTTAAAATGCCAGATTTCCTGCAAATACATTAGAATTTACGAAAGGAACTTCACTACTAATTGCCTACTTTGCGTACTTTTCTACTACCATTTTCGCAACAAGGGATTGCATTCTTGCCCTTTCTCTGTCCTTCGTAAATGCAACCTTTTGTAAGGGAGTGTCAAACCGCAGCTGTCAATAATTATCTAACCTTGTATTATTGAATCATG